CAATGCTCTGTAATTCTGTTCGAGAAACAGAAATTTTTTGAGTTCCCAATGAAAGATTCTCCGGGAATTTATTGTATCGTTACATATCTGTAAACGCTTCGAATAAGAACTGATGGGGGGTTTACTTAACGCGATTATCGACGGTATCCTTGGCGTTCCTGCAGATGCACTTGGACGCGGTTGAATGCAACCTGAAATAGGTGCAACGCGGGCGACGGGCGCGTTGCAAGGAAGGAGCGCGAGTGAGTCTTTCCGGTTTCCACTCGCCGAGAAACAGTGGTAGTAGTATTAGTAGTAGTATTAGTAGTAGTAGTAGTAGTAGTAGTAATAGTAGTAGTAGCAGCAACAGCAGCAGCAGCAGCAACGAGTACTCCATCGTTGCAGCGTAGTAGTGACCTTTCAGCTTCAGGATACTGCTTACCTTATGCAAGCCCGCAGTACACGACGGCGTGGCTGCGGTTTCATTCACAACGAGCACGCTTCGAGCCGCGCTCGATTCCTGTTAACACGGATACTTAGATTCAATAGAATATCGATGTTTACGTCCGCAGACAGGTATCGCAAATCGCATTCCATGAAAATGAGGAACACTCGAACGCGCGGTCCTTTTGCGAACGAATGCACAAAAATACGCTCACTTCTTACAATTCCATTATTCATTGAGATAGTGGAATTATAAGATGGATTATAAGATGGAAATAGGAAATTTGTTGCCGATATATTGCGATATTAATCGAATTAAATCTCAATTGGATCACATATATCGATATAATGTTTCATATGATTAGATTATAATTAACTTACATAAATATACAGGGCGTCCGATAATTCCTTGTGTAGTCGCAGTATAACCCATGAAACTGAATACAAAATTCTCGTACTATTTTACAAACAATCTCGTAAAATTTTGAATTATTAATTGAAGATAAATGTGTATGTGGTACGGCAGACGTGTTGTGATATTGACGTGTGTGCCGTGTTATTAATTAAATAGATGCGTTTATCGTGCGCGATCATCCCGTCAATCTCCCTGAATTGATAACTCAAAAATCCACGCGATTATTCGCAAAATGGTACAGAGCTTTTCTGTTCAATTTTACCTAATCTACAAGCACGATTGCAGGCGCCACTCATCTGCCGTATCGCGCGTGATCATTCGCCAATCTTCTACAATTGATAACTCCAAATTTCATACTTCTGATAACTCCAATTTTGGTTGCTCGCGAAATGGTAGAGGAATTTTCGCATGAAATAATAACCCCCGGAAGCAGAGATCGGCTGAGTGTACATATCTACGGTATTTCGCGCTGCTCTCACGCGCAATCGTTATGCAATTTTTATTACATCCCGGTGCTCTCGATTCGACGGCAGCCGTGTGAGATGAGTTGTCCGCTCGTTTTATTACTGGCCGCGGATGCCGCAATCTCGCTCGCCGTGCATTCGCGGCCGACGACTGAATGACCCACGCTCGACCGCGTGGGAGCTCAAATGAAATACAGATATACCGACGTGGCAAAGGGCTAAAGGGCTGCGATAGCTATGGTGACTCACGCCGTATACCCCATATGGTCGATCGACCTGTGTTGTGAGATTCTCCAGGATCGATCGCCGCGCCCGATTAGACGTTGCTTCGCAGTATAATTAACGATAACGATCTTTCGTAGATCGTTATTTCAAACGGCAATCACGATATCGTAATAATAGTATAGTAGCGGTAATAGATAATTAACGATGCGACTTACTTTCACTTAAGATATAACGCAAGAACGTCTGACGTGGAGAGGAGAATAGAAGACGCGCGAGAGACGCGAAATGGGTGCGTCACATGAGTTCAAGTACAATTTCCTCTGAGGAGAGAAAGAGACGGAGAGAAAGAGGAAGAGATTATTATTAGCCGCGTGGAGAGCTTTTCACGGTCCTCGTCGCAGGTGCAACATCCGGCAGGGAAATTGTTGCGATCGTCTTACGGCGGCTAATTGCTAATTAGGCAGCACAATGGAACGTTACGCACGTCGTCGACTTCGTCATTGTCGAAGTCATCATGTTTGATCACGGCCGTATCATTGACCGTGGTCGACGGCTGTGACGATTATTGAAGACTGCCGCTGACTGGTTGTCTTTACACAGTTTGATCGCCGCTCAACTCAAAAAAATAGTCTTGCAGCCACGCATAGGGAAAATTATTTAGATTAGCTGAGATGGATAAATGACTAGAAAACGCGATATCGCATATGCTGTGTTTAATCAATATTGATGATAGAAGTGGCATTTCTATCTGAACTTTTCATGAAATTTAGCAAGAGAATCTCTGTGTGGCATCCATCCAGATTAAAGGCCAGTTACACTTTTTATAAAAATTTACTGTGGTAGACGGAAAAACCAGCGACGAGAGACAAACGAATGTATAATCCTCACATCCATCTAAATTTGCTTGCAGATATTACTAGAATGCTGTTGCTGCAAATTCTACGTACCACAGACAATTTTGTTAACACAATTTTGCAGATACAAAGAAACAGCGATAAATTTTGACAGTGAGATTTAGAATTCTATCTGGACTAACAAAACATTCTTTTCAGTGGCGTATCGCTTCATTTAATTCCAAAAGACGAAGCTCAAGTTTCTTTAAATTACCTGATTTATGTGTATGTGCTTAAGTTACTGTATAAACTCATAGTTACATTGATTCTCCATTTTAACTCTCTAACCTTAATTTTTATCAAACCTTTACTACTTATATCTCCCAATTTACCATATCAATTACCATATCAATTACACAAACTTCATACACAATACTCTAAACTTTATCCTATTTTACATCTATTCTTTTGTCTTTCCTCTTTCTATCCATCCTCTTTACTACACTCTTTATTTCCCCCTCATCCTTTTGTCCCACAATTTTCTTCCATATCTTGTTAATTTCATTATTCCACTTCCTGCCAATCTCATGAAATGATTCCTACCTATTTTCCTTCATTTCCTATATGTTTCCTACATTGCTAACAAGAAGTTTTTTCTACATCCTATAACCTTTTTCTTACTCTTTATATTTTACCCTTCTTACTTGCACTGTCCCCCAATTCTTCTTCCGTATATGTTTATTTTGCTTCCTTACATCATTCGATAACTAAATTTTTCTTTTTTATTTCTTGTATCCCCTTCTTGTTCCTTGTGTATTTCTGTCCTCTATTATCATTGTACATTTCTGCCTTCTATATATTATACATTATCGACTATCGACTATACATTCCGACTATCGAGATAATTTTCTGTGCATTTACCAATACTAATTTTAGCTTGCCTCTACCCTAACTATCCATTCTTTATGATGCCGTAATCTCTATTATCTATGCACTCTTTCCGACCTGAAAAAGCTGCTTTTCTACCCAACGTCTTGTTTCGCTTTCACTTACACACTATCCACGCATTATTCCTACTTAACTTTTCTTATCTGATCCCCCATACTTGGTTTAATATACTAAAATTATCTTAGATTCACGTACCACGTTAACCAAGCACGCCATCTAACCAAGTCCAATTAGATATAATATATGTATCAGTTGACATATAAAAATTTATCAACAAGCAAATCTCCATGCAAAAAATCGAATTAGTTTGAAACGGTTGAAGTAGCAGTTGTCAATCGGGCTTAATTTCCTGCGACTTGCGATCGCGATGCAATTCGCTCGCGCAATTACCGATATCGAGCGTTTGATCATCGCGATAAATTGTATAACAACACATTATTACAGAATAGACACTGAATGAAAAACGAAAAGAAAAAAAAACTAACTGAAACAACTGATACGCGCACGCTCATATTAGCAATGGCAGGCGGTCGCGATAAGATGTTATCGTTATCAAGCTGTGACGCTCGGCACGCGCAATTGCGTAATGCTGTGTGCGTGTTCGCTATTCGCGTGTCCTCGCCGTGCGTACGCGACTGCCTTTTTTAACGCGCGCGCGTGCTCTCACGATTGCGAGAATCACGGAAAAGTCGGGAGAGGCGATTCGCGATAGAAACCGTCGGGAGAAAACGCGCTGTGACTTTGAAATAAAGTGTCATGCAATCCAACGGTTGCAACAGCTGAATCAGAATTTACCCGTTCTGCTTGCCATGTTCGTTCGTTTTCTTCTTTCTTGTTTGCGTATATCGAACACGACGAGGAGCCCCTCGAGTGCTTTCGGATCAAAGGACTATCGTTGGGCGGATTGAATATTCATTTCGTTAGCAGTGCTCTCGGGGAACGAGGACGACTGTCGGCGTTATGAGAGCGACGGCTGCGACGATTTCGCACTCGTCGAGCGTTGTCTAATTACTCCGAAACGAATTATCTCTCGAGCGCCGCCGATATTCCGATGCGAAACGGAGAATTTCACTCTTTGAGATGATTCGGTATGAAAACTTGTCTCGAGTCGTAAAAATTGTGAACATGTAACATTTGTTTTGCATTTGTCAGATTTATTAGATATAGCAATATATCTGTTCTAATTTGATATAATCATTTATCAATTTATGTGTCAGTAGATTTAATTATATATATATATATATATATATATATATATATATATATATA